ATTTGTCTTAAGATTTGGCCGATTGTTGGAATAATGAAGATCGTAAATGCTGAGTTTGATGAAAATATATTGAAAAACAGATCTTTTGACATAGATAAACTCATTTGCGACCAATTATAAGATTTGGATCATATGTGAGCAGCAGTTTCATAGTTAGTAATAGTAATAATAGTTAGTATTAAACTAAAGGCCTTACTAGCCAGGGCATTTTTTTTTAATTATAGTCTGATAGTTTATAACCATATTTTATAGTTACAATAATAATTATAGCTTGGACATGGAACATTTCACAAAAACCAGAATCTATCCTAGGATAACAACTGATAACGTCTATAAGGTCACCTCAGCCTTCATAAGACTCTTCATATGAACGGGTAATAGCTTTACATTCCACGTAGTCAGTTCGTTATGCGGTAATTTGAGCGTTTGCTTTCATTACACATTTTGTGTCACCTGCATTTGTCGCCCTGGACTCGAGCTGTTGGACATTCCCCTTTGCCCGGCCTAACTGCAAATGGGCTCCACTACATGTGCCCCATGTCAGATGGGCTAATTTATAGTGTTACATTGTACGTGACTAAACTACAAGTCCACTTCAGTCTATTGTCTGAACAAAACAAAACCAAATACTGCTGCTGCTGCGTCCCCAGCAACACGTGGGCAACGGGCCAAAAAAGCCCAATAAAATGTTAGAACATCAACTGCATATTGATGACAGGCCACAGACGATGCGAACGATGACGAACGCTTTGGAGCAGGTGAAGCCTGCACTGTTATACCCTGTAATTATCGAATGCCATAAAAAAGGTCTAAAAGTAAAACAAATCGTATATGGTAGATTTACGAGCTAAAGCTCATTTATTATCTTATCTCCCGCAACGTTAAATGTTTCGATTTTTGGTATACTTGCATTATTTTATGATCTCTCAACATTCTAAAAAAAACTAGAAAAATGGGAGCATAAATTCATTCACTTATTAAGAAATAATAATTGCATTCAACGGCAAGTTGAGGTGTGTGTTTGCATAGGAAATACGAAAAATATACAGGGCATCGTCTAGTCGAGCTTTTGGTTTGGTTTGTTTGTTTGGTTTCGGTATTGGATTTGGGTTAAGAGCGAAGCATCGCTCAACTGCAAAACGCAAATGCAACAATTCGGTTTTGGGCTTTGTTTTTGGGGTCAATGTCAATTTTGTTTTGCTGGCCGGCTGGCTGGAGGAGGTCGTGTGCCTGTGTGTGTGTGTGTGGGGGGGGGGGGGGGGGGGCAAGCCCCATGCCGCCCTGCGCCGGGACGCGTTTGGCATCTTAAGCAGCCGCAGCCGACACGGACATATATAAAACCAAGCGGGGCGACTCGCAGTCAGTCAGTCAGTTAGCCAGTCACAACAATGAAACTCAGCCCAGTGGTCATCGTGTTGCTCGCCTGCGTGCTGAGCCTGGCGCAGGCGGATGTCCAGCAGCAGCGTCGTCGCTACCAACTGCAGCAGCAGCAGCAGCAGCTGCAGCGGCAACAACAGCAACAACAGCAGCCAGGTTACAGCTACAGGCCAGCGGCTCAGAATCTAGAGCAGATTGCACAGCCAGCGATCAGCTATGCCGCGCCACAGCCGCAGCAGTTGTACAGAGCTCCTCCAGCGCCTGCCCAGGCAGAGGCAGCTGCACCACAGCCGCAGCAGTTCTATAGAGCGCCCGTCCAGGCAGAGGCAACCGCAGCGACGCCAGCACGGCTGCAGGCAAAGCCCGCGCGTTTGGTGGCCAACAGCGAGGCGCAGGAGGACGACATCGATGATGCCGCCGAGGAGGTGGAGGTGCCAAGGGCAGCGCCAGCAGCTCCCGCTGCCGCTCCAGCGCCGCTCGCACCCGTTCAGCCGCCAACCATTGTCTACTATCCGGCGGGCGCTGTCAGCTTTGTGCAGCCAACCTCCTTTGCCAAGTTCATAGCAGCGCCTCAGGCGGCACCAGCAGCAGCTGCTGCCTATGTGGCCGCGCCTCAGTACTATGCTGCCTACTATGGTTAGGAATATGCTAACTCCTGAACTGTAGCTGCAGCTTCTCTTTTCTTAATAAAATAACAACTTTATATATTATCTACATTTATGTTTATCCTCAATTAAGAATTTCCCCATTTCTTTTATGTTCCTAGTTCTTAGTTCTAAATTGTTGCCCTCTTTCTATATTGTTTACTCTCCTTATATAAATTATTTCGCAAAGCCCGTCGTCTATTTCCTTTATTTGAAATAGGACTAATAAACTGGAATTTAAGCCAAGAGTCTTCTTGTTCAGTTGCCCGAATAACCGCGACAATAGTATTTTTTAATTTTTAAATGATTATGCCATTTACAACACTGCAATTAATCAGCGATCTTTACAGCACTGCAGTGTTAATCAACGTCCCTTTTGTGATGGCAAAAAAAAACCATAATAACTTTGCTTGTTCTTTCATAATTCATTCGGTTAGTTAAAACTTTAATTTTACTGCATTTCTCGTTAGTTTTAATAGTTTTAATCATATTCCGCCGTTTTGGGCCACCTTCCTCCCTGCCTAGACTCGCGTGATTAAGCTGCAACAGAACAAGCTATATCATCATGGCAGATTTGAGTACCACTCCGACTGCGGGACCGCAGACAGAAAGCTGCCTGAAAACGGTAGGCAATTCCACGAGAGCCTAACGAGCATTTGTCGAAAGAAGATGCGAACGCGACTTAAGGCTCGGCAGTCTGACAATGAGTGAGCAAAGATAATCTATTATGACCGTAACAAGAAATAAATCCCAACTCGGTAATCCATCATTTTACGACTTGGCAATCAAAATAAGGAGTTTAGCTAAGTCAGTTAAGGAGTCGGACGGCCGGACAATGGGCGGCCAATCAACGGCCAACAAAGTTGGCTGACTACCTCAGTAACTGAGCCCCAACTAGAGATGAGTTCGCATCGAATTCCCTTTAACTGCTTACAATTATTAGAGGGTATTTTATAGTATAATATGGCAAGCTAAATCCATCCAGCCGAATCAATCTATTTATGTTTTATGTAGTTATGTGTAAGTGAACACACACATGCGTTTTTGGTGTCTTTTCCATCACTAAAAATGTTCACATTCTCAAAATAAACAGCTGTACAACACTGGTTCTTTTACATAAATGATAGGTACAGGAAAGGAAATGAGAAATGAATCGCTCTTTTATATTAAAAGCAAAGAAACCAAGTTATCTTAGGGTGTTGATTGACAATGCGATTAGTGCATGATCAGTTATTGATAGGGTTAACTCGTGTCACGCGCTCATCACTGGCAGCGTCTAACGAACAAGTCGAAAACCATGTTAACGTTAAGCCCGAACTAGAAGCGAACCCACAGATTGAGCAGAGAGTTGCGATCAGGAAACATGCATTTTCGACATGCTGCATACACATTCAGGCCACATTCAGCGGGCGGGTTGCAGTCGAAGCAGGGAGCAGAGACGAATTCAAAGCTCAATTTACGGCAGCCTGACGACTTGGACAAGTGGCAGCTTTGGGCCATTTTAGCCAGAGCCCAGCCGCTGATGGCTGTCTGCTTCTCTGCCTGCCTGCCTGGCTGCCTGCCTGCCCGGCTATCTGTCTGTCTGTCTGTCTGTCGCTTTGTCTATCTGGCCGACTAAATAGTTGCCAATAATCCGTGTCCAAATTGATCGGGTTGCCGTTTATGGTAATGGACGAACTTTGGATGCCAAAATGTTGGCCGTTGGTCACTGGCGGAATGCTTCATTACCGATGCACAAACTTGGGCGTGCGTCTCAAATGATTTGCAACGGTTTTCAGGCGGCATTTTGCATTATTATTGCTTCATTTTCTACTCCATTCTGGGGCTACAAGCGGCACCAGCAGCCATGAAGAATGCTGTCAATTAGCGTAAGAAAGGAGCGACAGTGGATGCTACTCCCCAGCAGATTGATAAGCTGCTGCTGCTGCTGATGATGCTGCTGCTGCTGCTGCTGCTGGATGTGGGTTGGAGTTGGAGTGAAATTGCGAGCATACCGGAAACCCAAGTAGTGACAGCTAGCACGCCCTATGCTGGGGCATAAGCCCATTTGGAACTGCTCATACATTTTCAAAATCGCATTTAAAGGTGAAAGGTGAAGGTGCAACAGTTAGTGGTGGGCAACAGTATCTGGTTCGCTGCCTATTGGAGCCATGCCAATGGGGCTTAGCAAAATGCTCAAAAATTCAAAAAGAAGAAAAATAGAAAGAAATATGGGCTAGTAAGAAAAAGAAAACAACACACAGAAACAGCCATGGCAAAATCAACATGTGGGCGGCACATGCGAGTACTTTAAGCAAAGAAAAAGGCAAAAGCAACTTTAATATTAGCCAAGTTTATGCAGTGTGCAGTATCAGTTACAAAAATCAGTAAAGTGTATGAGTGTCTGCCTGTGTGCGTGTGTCCATGTGGGCGCTTGTTTTTGTATCGGAGAAATTGTATTTTCAACATCAGCGCAAGAGAAAATGAAAAATAAGCAGCTGTAGTGGCAGCGTTAAATTAAAAAATAACACAAGCTAGCCGCAAAAAATATAGCCAAATGTTTACAAGAAGAATTGACTAGAAATTATTAGTTTGTAGTGATATTCATTAGCTTAAATCTAATATTCATTAGCTTAAATCGATTGATACAATTACATCGATATATTTGCGTAAACCTTCTTGTGAAATAAATTTGTATGCATTTAAAACGCGCGCTCTTCATTTAATACTTTTACAACACTGCTTGCACTTTTTTCAACGAGATGGCAATGATGCTCAGTCACTCGTTCACTCGCTCACCTTCACTCGTCACCAGCTACCAGCCAACTTGTGACGTCACGTTTAATAAACATTAACTGTTTTCGGAACGAACGAATGAAGCATCAGTGCCTTGTGCTGACCATTTTTAATATAATATATTTATATTTAGAAAAATCCATCAAAAATGTTCTCTGTGCTGCTCTCACGTACAATTCTACGCGTAACCTTCTCATTTGATTGCCTTACGAATCAGCTGTGGCAACTGGCCGACAACAACAACAACATGCACAACTTTCTTAAGCGCGTTCGACGAGAGGAAGAGGCACGAACACGAGAAGAGATGTGTTAAAATCAATCCAGAAACTACTTGTTGACAAAGCCAAGCGGCAGCCACCTGAACAACTCTAGCGCTCTGTCCAGCGCTGTTTGCATATTCTAAATATACATACGCACGCATAAAAACTCTACACGTCATCAGACTTTCTGTCGCGGAACGTAAGTTAAAATATACAGCAAGGCAAGCGAACAGTTAGAATATGAATTAAATATTTCAATTTACGCAGAAAATGCGTCAACTAAAAGGCAAGGTAAAGGAAACGCGAAAGCAAAAGAAGGAGCGCAAATTGGAAAACGCACAAATGCAAGCAAAAATTGGAACTGTGGTTCTGCCGGCGCTTGGAGTTATTGCCATGATGGTGAGTAGCACCGGAAAGTGTGGGAGCTTAACATATTTTGTGTGATTTTAAATATTGTACAGATAGTGGCGTTTATTTACCTGAAGACGAGACCTGCAATCTTGGCCTAGAAGAGAAGCCAAAAGGAAACTTGAAGTACCTTAAGCTAGTATAGGCATCAACGATTTTATTATGTACTTGTGCTCGTGTTTAACATTAACCTTATAATTGCGTCCATGTGAAATGTGCAATTTGTTTTTAAATATTACACTATATTGTATAAACACACCAGTTGAATAAATAAACGCGACGAAATTGAGCGGACTAGTTTAGTGTTGTACAACACAAATATTTAGGCAGTCGTGAAGCTGATTGGCGGGTTGTTTGAATTTCTTTAGAAATACATTTTTTTGTATTTGCGTGTATTGGGTTAACACATACATGCCGCGATACACACAGATACAGCATCTAACGAGTTTTTTTTTTGGCCACTTTCTAGCTATTTACACGTTGCTCGTTCGTTGCGCTGAGTAAAAGCTGCCTTCAGCATTTGTCAATAAAAACAAATTCAAAAAAGTGGCTGAGTATAAAATTTCGCGCCAAAAATAAACATTTTCGCATACTGCCAAACAACATTAAGCAGTTAACTAACTTAAAAACACTGCAGTTATTTATCTTTGCTTGTGATTAGATAACACGCATATAAAACCAACAGCAGCACATACATACACACACATACATAAGTAACTAAGTGTGCCAGCTGTTTTCTGTACTCTCTTACTCTCATTTACACACACGCACACACACAGACACGAGCCTACAAACAGCAGCTCGCTCTCACGCGGCGCGTCTCGTTTCGTACGTTTTGACATTTTCTTCAACGCAGTTGTTGTTTTGGTTCTCACACTGGCGCGTGCGGGTGAAAAGAGTGATTTTAATTACTGGACAATGCTTAAGTTTTTGGTAAGTAGCGTGAAATACAAGCGAAAGTTCGTGAAATACGCCGCCGCAATACATTGCAGCACTTTATGGAGTGGCTGCAACTTACACTAACACTTCTATCGCCGTTCTTTTTATGGCGATGATTTAATGCCGTTGTTGTTGTATTGTTTAACATGCGACCAAGAAATGCCAACAACATTTTACGCAAATCATATGCGGCAAACATCAGCTGTAGTAAAGCAATTTCAAAATTATATAAATTGTTTTAAGTATATATACATATGTCTTGCCTTTAGACTGTACTGTGCGTTGTTCTTTTATTACGTTAAGCTGTCCGATTTATCATCCTTGTTCATAGTTCAAAGTCCAGAAAGCAAAGAAAATCTTACTCCTGCAAGTTATTTCGCGACACACTAATCGATAGGGAAAAGGCATCTTTGGATATTTCACTTAGCCCACCTTCAATACACACATATATGTGTGTAAATTCGTTCCAAAAATGTCAGACAGTAACTACCTAAGCATTGCTCCCATTGCCATAAACATATTTGAGTAAATTTTGGGCACGACACATAGGAAAACACATTCAACATAAAAGACTAAAATGAAATTGCTTGGCTTGGGAATGCAACTGTTGAAGCGTGGCCAATCTTCGTGCACGAGCGGCTGCCAAGAGTGTGATGCATTGCCACCATGTCCGCCAAAACCTTTGTGGACAGGCGGGCGCGTGTTGTTGTTCTCAGTGGTCAGCGGCTCTAGCCTTAATCCGTTTGCATCAAATTAATATTTGAAACATTTTTTTATTGCAGCTAACTTTTGGGGCCGGAGTTTACACGGGTCTCTACGTGTCGCAGAACTATGAAGTATGTGTTTAAATCTCATCAAACTGTTGGGCTAAAATTAATCGTTATGCTTTTGCAGGTGCCTCGTGTGGATGATCCCCCCAAACTGGTTGAAAAAATGAATAAAAAAATCCGGGAGCTAATCGACGGAAAAAAGTAACGCCATTTAGAGATTCGTTAATTCATATTCATCAGGCTTAGACCAGGCAGTTTTATTTAACTAACCCAATGTGACTATGAACCACGCACGCTACAAAAAAAAAATTCAAAATAATAAAATGGGGTACAGATTTTACAACTTGGACTGATTATTACAATGTTACAACCAATTCGAAGTGCAAAGTTGCGTAGCCATTGGCAAGTCAAACTTATTTTCAATACATGTCGGAGCGCACAGTATTCAAGACTTTTAACAAGGACATTCTCTGCAAAATTTACAATGAAAAGGACTCTTCAAAATGCCAGTTTAATATAAATTAACGATCTACTCATATCAGAGCGATGACCATTGAAGACGGCACTCATTAACCAAACTAACCATCTTCATTTGTAGAGATAAAAATTTAAAATAAACTGACCATATAAATAACAAATGCATTACACCAACTCTTACATTATTCACAGAACGCCCGTCGAACAAATTGTGCATGATATCAAAAAGGAGGCGAAAAAAGTTTTGGACGACTGAAGAACGTATTTACTTGCAGCTCGAGACGACATACAATATATTTAGTTATTCTGTGTTTAAACAAATTTATCTATGATCCAATAAAGGAAAGTTTAAAGTTACAATCTAGATAAAGGAAACACCTCCTCCATAATATTCTAAACGCGTTTGCGGCTGCACAAATGCCAGCCAGTCGGAGGCGTGCGTGGGCAGAAGGCCCATACTGTGGCACTTATATAGCGCAAGGGCCACATTCGCCAGATTGCCCAGAATATAGATAATGCGCTGACCCGTGCCCTGTGCACCCTCGGCCATTTTTGAAGTGACTTGCGTCGTGAACATAGCCTTAATCGGGCGTATTAACATCATGCCCACCATCATTATTGGAAAAATAGAGATTGAATTACCTGACATGTACATTATGAATAGATTCATTGGTATCTGGAAGAGTTTCAAGGGTAACAGCAGATCTGGCCGAAATGAGAACACCGCTTACCTGTTTCAGTGGTCCCAGGGCCAGGTCCCATGATTTTTTAATTACCAAACGTTGATCACGTACAACTTCCGTTTGATTTACCAGAGCCGTGGGATTGTAGCCAGGCGGAGAAGGCATATCTGCATTTTTGCTACATCATGGAAGAAAAATGGGTTACCTTTGTTGAAATTGCTTATTTTGACACACATACCTAACATTAAAGTCCAGCGCCCACTTGGATTTCTTGGAGTTTTGCTTAGCCGACATTTTAATAGTGTTTTTTATCTAGGTTTAGTTAATTTAATTGAAGAATAACTTATAAATTGGCACCAGCAGCAGAAAAAAATTTATTTTATCGTTATCGGCAATAGCAACTCTGAATGTGCCGGCACTGTGTTGGTAAACGATGACATACTGTTTGGGTTGCCTTCAATTTATTATCGATAACAATCACATAATATACGTTGATTAAACATTTTAATTTTTTGTGTATCAAAAGTGATTCAGCATATTTTTTTTATTTTAATTTTATTTAGAATTACCTTTATAAGTAGTACGTTCCGTTTGTATATGGTTTTTATGTTTTGTTTTTGTTTTTTTTTTTTTTGTTACTTATTTTGCAGGCAAGCGTTGGATTATAAACAAAAATAATTCAAATTGTTTTTTTCTTGTATTTTTTAAGACAATTACAATTACAGTTTTCATTACTCATTATTATTACTTTTATATATATATAAAATTAAAAAGAAATATATATTGATGAGGGAAAGGGCAAAACTAACTTAATAAAGATACATACTTCTGTTGTGGTGGTTGGGTTTTCTTTTTACTCAGTTTTGCATTTAAACATCCAATAATTATATATATATAAATTTAAATCATAGCGTTCTTTTATATGCTGATGCTGTTTTGAAAAGTTTTCTTTTGAGTGTGGTGTTTGCGATTCTTAAACAAGTTTTAATTATGCGCGGCGCGGTTTTGCGGGTGTTTTCAGAAACTGGAAATGCGCAGAACCCAAAGTTCGCTATTTTTCTTCATTGATATTACTTCCCACTTATTTAATGCCGTTGTCTTCTCTTCTTCTTGTTGTTTTTGTTTTTGTATTTGTTGTTGTTGTTGCTTTTGCTGTTGAAGATTTTGCTGCTTTGCTTTTAAAATCAATGTTAGTGTATAATTATTTTGTTGTTGTGGTTGCTGCTGCTGCTGCTGTTGCTCTAGTTGATTTAGCGATTAGCGTTCTTTAGCTGATTGGACAACCAATCAAGACCCTCATAGAGACCGTCGCCGCTGGTTGCACACGTCGCCTGTATATACCAGTTGCGGTTTCTGAGTGAGTGCAAGCCCAACTTGTCGGTGATTTCGGCCGCATTCATTGCATTTGGCAGATCCTAAAAGCAGCAGAGAGAGAACATAATTGAGTATTGAGTATTTAATATATACATTAATTTACGGGAGTGCATTCTTGAGGCTTTGTTATCTCGAAAAACACCTTTTCTTTCTTATCAACGACATCCAACATTTATAGTAAACACGTGCGTTTGTTTAGCTTGCGCAATATGTTATTTTAAATGCTGACGACTTCATTGAATATATTTCAATAAATTTCCAAAAAAAGGTGATTGAATATTAACTAAACTTCGTTGCAAAACAAGTTTTCTATTAACAGTATTTTTCTCTACTCTCACTAAGTATATCATTGATTTCCATACCTGTTTGTTGGCGAATATTAGTAGGACTGCATCTCTGAGCTCGTCCTCGGCCAGCATACGCATCAATTCCTCTCTCGCCTCACCGATACGCTCTCTGTCGTTGCTATCAACGACGAAGATAAGACCCTGCATGGAAGAAAGGAACAGCACGTAGAACATATTAATTGGGGGCAAGGTTAAAGATTAAATCTGATGAGGGTAATCATATGTATATCAGTCCCGTCTTGAAACAAAATTAACTTTGAATAATCATAATTATAATCATTATAAGTTGTTAACATCATCTAAAAGAGGTAGGCCGGCGGCATATCTAATCAAAAGGAACGTTAACGTACTTGTGTATTCTGGAAGTAATGCCTCCACAATGGACGAATTTTGTCTTGGCCGCCCACATCCCACACTGTAAAGCTAATATTCTTGTATTCTACAGTCTCCACATTGAAACCTGGCGATGAAAGAGAAAGCATACAATATGTTGCATTATTTGTATACATTTTGTATTATTATAATTGAGGATTATTACTTACCAATAGTAGGTATCGTTGTAACAATTTCGCCTAATTTGAGTTTGTACAGAATTGTGGTTTTACCAGCGGCATCCAAACCGACCATCAATATTCTCATTTCCTTTTTGCCGAAGAGGCCTTTGAATAGATTCGCAAATACATTTCCCATGTTGCTGCTTGTTGCTTCGTGTCTTTCAATGTGGAGGGGATGTTGTTAAAAACTGTTACACTAGTGTTTCTTCTTGTTTACGGTAATTATAAACAAGTTCAAATCCGAGTTGCAACTGCTGTTAATATGCAACTCCTGTTGGATTTGTGTGCTTGCAACTTGAAGAAACTGCAAAGAATGGAATGTTAGTTTCTTTCACTTAGCTTAATTCGATTAACTGCGGTCTGTGGCATATGGACAAAGCAACCCCCCCATAGACACTTACGATCAATAAAACTGACTTGTATTACAAATGTTATGAGTAATGAAGTTTTAGTCAAACGTTGTTTAGGTTTTGCTCGTTAATTGCAAACTGTTTTGATCACTTTGCATCACACTTAAGCTTAGATTGTTAATGCTGACGTGTGTTGAGCAAACGATGAGTAAACCGGAAGGCCCGCAACGAAATTATGAAATCTACCATTAAAAATGTTAAATCGGAGCCACGAAATTGCCTCAACCGAGCAAGAAAGTGTAGAAATGGCAATAAACGCTTTTACCAACAAGTTCATTGACAACGCCAAGTGGAAGATGTTGGCTTCAAAATAGAAACAAAGAAAAGAACTGATGTTAAAGGGCGATTGTCAAAATAAAACAACAACTTTGATTTGACACTGGCGAGTTTGCTGCCGACGCAGACGCTCGGTTGACGCTGACGTCGCGGCAGCTGATAAGATATTGATTTTTTTATTGTATTGTATTATTGGTTTGTTGGTGTGCGTGCAGCGGCGGCTACTTTAGTCGGGGAAAACGTGTACGGACAGAGCGCGCAAATGCTTGAGGTGAGAAACTTTCGATTTATCAGTGCAAATGCTAGCAGAATGACTCGACCGACCATTGCCCAGCGTCGTCGCTCCAAATCTGTGGTGAGTCAGCAGCAGCGGCTACTACATATTGCCTATGTTGTGTTGTGTGTGTAACACACACACACGCATATACACATGTGCTTCAACATGCAATTCAATTGAAAGTTTTATTGACTTCACATAGAAATAGACAGCAGGCAATGGCAATAGCAGCAACAACAGCAACAATTAGGCAGCACGGGATGCGCTAGTGTTGCCCATCAAAACGAAATGCGCAAATAATAACTGAACACGCTATCGAAAATACATTTACGTTTTGTTTGGTTGCATTTGATGCCAAAAAGCTCGATTGTGCAGAAAACTCTATGTCGCAAAAAATATGTGTAAGAAAATGAAATCTACACGTAGCAACTTTTATATGCCGCCGCAGCAGCAACACCCTGCAACGCACACACAGTCACAATTCATAAACACACATACGCACATGAGAGTTTAGGGTTGCCTTACGATTAGTGTGCGTGTTAAATTGTAGTCATTTAGACCGAGCTTTAACACACGACAATCACACAGACAGTTTTTGTTGCCATTAAAACTAGCGCAATTTCTTAAAACTTTTTAGTTTCCTTTGTTTGCCTGGCAAATTAATACACTGGTGGTCCACGAACACATTCGACAGCCCTATCCATTTATATGTGTGTGTATGTGGCTGCCTTTGTATGAGTACCAAGAAATGATGACGGCGACGTATGCTTTTTTTTCATTTGCTTTTGTCGAACAGCGGCAGCCTTGTTTTGTTAATTTTTAGGCGAAACATTTGTTTGGTTTGCACTTAGGACATTGCCTCAGCATTACGCTTTGATTAATTGCACTTTGCACTCATTATTTACCGTTTTCTTTGCAGCTTTTTATAAATTTCCCTCTGATTAAATTTTCTGCTGCTAAACCGACTGCGAAGAAGAATGTACAAATTGGTGATGACAGAAATGGTACGATACCGCCAATCGATTCCAATTGAGCGTGACTATCGATTACTAACATTTTAAGAACGAATTTAAAGAGTGAGCATTATATAATTGATAATTGCCACTAGAATTTCAAGAAAAGCGTTATTTAAATAATCAATTAGTTTTCATAGTTGCTAAGTATTAGGTATTTATATCCCGGACGATAGTTCGTTTTCAAGCATTCGATTACCACTCCCATCGCCAGTTCCACACGTCATATGCATGTGTGCGTGTTAAAATTTCTACACCAATACACCAACATCACCCACATTGCTGCGGCAGCATTTTCAATAGCAAAAGATAAAAATGCTACCAGCTTTCTATTAAAATATGCCATTGAGCAACATCACCACCTTAAACTTGATTGAAAATCCATACGCACCAAATAATTGTATCAAATGCACGCCAATTTGAGCAGAAATTTTAGAAATTTCTACTTGGAAATGTCTAAAAATCACAGAGCGAAATAAAACTTGACCGAGAATACACTTGCCTTTGAAAAAACTGCAAATTCACCAACGTTGAAAATGAACTCAACGCTGAGCGTGGCTGTATGCTAGAGCAGCAGCACTATAATATACGGTGGTGAGTATTTCATATGGCACTCATATGCTGCCACGTCTTGTCCACAAGCGAGGCCGGTGTGTTGAATTTAGAGATGATAGGCGACCGTGACTGCACGTCGGATATTTCAATCGATTGATAAAATGTTTTATCCCAAGACTCCATTTTATGGCAAGGTACTGCTGGAAAACGAAATTCTGAAAGTGAATGTGAGTCAACAAATAAAATAATGAAATTGTGTTGCGGGCAAGGGCAAACAATTTATCATCAAATGTCAACATGCTGGCTATAAGAAGCAGACAACCACGATTCGATACTTTGATAACTCTTTTGTGTTTAGTGGGGTAACATTGGCATCAATAATGTTGAGGTTCGCAACACTGTTTTTCAAATTTTATATTACTTTGTTAATAACAATAATAATAATGGGTCTTTGTTCAGAGTGCGGCATTGCCGAAGTTGTTACCATGGCTTTGCAAGGCGCCACGCATTACAACCTATCGCATCAACACTCTTCGCATCAGCGTAGCGGACTACAAAGAGAAACTGGAGGCCAAATTACGCGCGCTTTACGGATCGCAAGCGCCCCGAGTGTATGGGCTACGCGAACTGCCCGAAATGCTATGCATTGCACCGTTGGACACACCAGCTGATATTAATTACGATGACTGCCGCAAGGAGGTTATTGTGGACACAAGTTGCGGCGCTGCGTTATTGCGTGGCGCACACATATATGCGCCCGGCGTTTTGGCCATGGAAACAGGCACACAACTCGAAGAGCTTGTCAATGTGTATGCGGATTTGCCAGGCAAATGCAAACGCGGCACTGCCACGCGTTACGACTGCACTGATAAGATCTTTCTGGGCGTGGGCCAAGTACTAATGCAACGCCATCAGCTGTACAATAACAAAGAGCAGCCACCCACGGGAATTGCCGTACGCATGCAATCAAATGTGTGTGGAGTGCCTACATTGGGCGATCTGAGCGATGCGAATGCATTGCTCCAAAACTTACCCTCTATGGTGTGTGTAAGGGTGTTGGCACCACAGCCTGGCGAACGCATTCTGGACATGTGTGCTGCGCCGGGCAACAAAACAACGCATATAGCTGAGCTCATGGGCGATGTGGGTCATATTATTGCCCTGGACAACTCTGCCAGTCGCGTGCGTGCCATGCAAACGAAGCTGGGCAACTACGGCTGCATTCAGGCGCATCAATTTGATGCCACCAAATCCTGGGACGAACACAGTGCCATAGACTCAACAGCTCCGCCCTTTGCTTCGAGCAGCTTTGATCGCATACTGTTAGACGCACCCTGCAGCGGTCTGGGCAATCGTCCGCAGCTCTGTTGCAGCATCAAGCAAACCAAGGTGCTTCAATCCTATCCGCATATTCAGCGCAGCCTGCTGGCACAGGCAGTGCCACTTTTGCGTCCCGGCGGCGTGCTAGTGTACAGCACTTGCACCATCACCGAGGCAGAATGCGAGCAGCTGGTTTCCTGGGCGCTGCGCAAATTTCCACAGCTGCAGCTGGTGGATGCGACACCGAAGCTTGGTGCACCTGGCCTGCCGCTGCCGGAGCTGGACGCTGCTCAATGTAAACTGTTACAGCGCTTTGGGTCAAGTAATGAAAATCGTGTCCAGAACTTGGACACAGTAGGATTTTTCATAGCAAAGTTTCAGAAGTCGTTATGAGCTGCAAATATATTTATATATATTAATTGTTTAAGATAGCCGTTAATACCTGTCGAAAAAGGTGTATTTGTATAAATAAAAATAATTTAATTATTTTTCATTTTATATACACTTAATTTAAACTTGAAACTTATTAAATATAATATGCAAATAGCCCCAAGCAAAGAAAGAAAAAAAGACATTTTCTCGTCATACACAAAGGAAAATCTGTATTAATTTAAAATTTGTATCCAAAGTCCGCTGAAATTGCATGAATTTCTTGTTTTATTTTAATTTAAATTGCAGTTTATATATTTGTTTATATTTTACAACTATGCATCTTGTTAAGTTTTTGTGGCATATCTCTCTTCTTTTTTAAAAGTAATGAATAAAAGCATTGTTGTTGTTTGCTTTTAGTTCATTCAATTTTAAAAAATACTTAAATAATGTACAATACATAATAATAATAATAATCATATCATAATATTACAATTACAAGTTCTAAGTCTAAATTGTATGTTGTTTTGCTCGTTCTGTGTGTATGTGTGTGTGTTTGTTGTATGTGGGCGTGTGTGTGTTTTGTTACGTGTTGCAAATTCTAAGGTTTTGCTGAGTTTTCTAAATGTTTAACTGTTCTTCAAAATGCAACAGCTGCATTTAGTTGTTGCCTAGAATAAAGAATTGCATAATGAATTACATTAAGTTATTTAAATTAGAATAGTTTTTTGTTTGCTTGATTTCTCTCTTCTTTCTTTTTTTATGTATATTGTTTTAATTAGTACAAGTACAAGTTAGTTTGTAGGTAAGTTTTCTAATGCATAATTGCTGCCGTTGCTTAATGTTAAATCTAACGCTCTGAATCCCGGATAGATTTACTGACTGCTAGCAAATTGATGAAAACTATACAATCTTAAAACTTTGCATAGTTTTTTTTTTCTTTAATCATATACTAATATATAAAACAGATCCCCCAAGTCGAATAATTACTTTAGTGAAGAACTTTCCACTTACTGCAAAGTACTCTATTTGTTTGCATTGACATTCGGATGTTAAAATTTGAATAGATCGAATCGAAATGCTAAAAGATACGTTTCGAGCAAAGGGCGGGGGAATGCGAATGCTCAAAAGTGCGATATGATTGGGAGAATGGGAACAGCGCTACGGGATGCTGATGCAGGTTAATGCTCAATGTTTAAACTTTAAGCGGCTTCCTTTCTTCTTCTGGCGTATCTTTACAACAACGGCCCGTGCTCTATCATAATAATGCTTATGAACTACATATATGCTATATTTTTCTGTTTTTTTTTTTTTTTTTTTTTTTTTTTTTTTTTTTTTTTTTTGTATTTATTTACGTCGGGATATTTAGCGTCTTGAACTGATCCTCCTGCATTTCAGTCATCATGAAGGTGCCATCCTGCAGCAACAAAACAACGCGACGCGTGCCACCTGAATATGAAATCAATGAAAAGTGTAAGTTAACAACATCAATCGAATCGCTTTAATTTATTTTCAATTTTGGATACGGCCGCTTACCCGGGGATGGCAGATCGGCTTGCACCACTTCGGCGGGTATTTGTGCCTCGGTGCCGTCGCTGTCCGATGTTGTGATGTGAATTTGCGCCGTGTGCGGTGTGCTGCCCGCTGGCGCCGCCTCCTGTTGCTGCTGCTGTTGCTGCTGCAATACCGCAGCCTGATGCTGAGCCAGTTCCTCCTCCGTCATGCTGACAAGTATGTGCTCACCATCCGCATTGGCATCGCTTTGCTGGCCAACGGCAGCGACAGCCTCGGCGACAGCATTGTCTAACGTGAGCACATCCTGATCCTCACCCTCGGCGGCAGCCACATAGGCAAACTGCTGTTCGCCGTCGGGGCCCTGGGTGACGAGTATTGTCTGGCCTTCGGCGTTCTTGCCGGCAACCTGGTAGACGGTGCCATCCTCGCCGCGTACCAGCAACGCGGAGCCATCCTCATTGGTGAGCACCTGCTGATCACCACCGAGCAGCGCCTGTGCGGCAGCCTCTAGCTGTTCGCGCTGCTGTTCCTGCTGTTGTTCCTGCTCCATTTGCAGCTGCGTCTCCTCCTGCCCAATTAGTTTGCCAGTGATGGGGCATAGTTGCGCCTGATGCTGCTGCAGCTCCTCCTGTTCCACTTCCATTTCGATTTGCATGGGCTGTGCCTTAGCTGCCGCCGCATTCACCGTGCGTTGCCTCAGCGGGGTCAGCTGTTGCACTTTCTGGATCTGCACCTGCTGCTGCTGTTGCTGCAAAGCTTGCGCTTGTTGTTGCCGCTGTTGGCGCACCTGCGCCGCACGCTGTGCTAGCAGATCCTCGCGAGTCATCACTTTGCGTGTCACCTTGAGATCCCCAGACTTCGATAGCTGCAAAATCTTTTGCTCTGGCGTTACAGCCTTGGCTCCGGCTACTTGTCGCTGCTGTGGCGTATTGGCTCGCGTGACCAGCATGCGTGCTCCGGCTCGGGCGGGCATTGGCGTCTGACGCAGTGGATTGGGGGCGCTGCTGCCCACGGGCCGACGTTGCAGTGAAGCCGCCTGTCCGGGTGTACGCAATAAATGCGTTCGCTGGCCAACGGTCACCGGTGAATTGTTGCCGGACGCTCGAGCAACAGCCATGCGCTTGGCAGGCGGCGCAATGCCTGCTGAGGAGATGGCGGCCGGACTCATCTTTGGAGCTGCTGGCGAAATTGCGCTGCTTTCCGATTGTTCTATGCGAAAGATGCCGCTGTTGTTGCTGGCCATTTCAGTGCGGGATAAATAACGCACCGGGCACTCGAGTTTCTGACGTTTCTGAACATTGATAAGCGATCGATATATATTAAATCAGATTGAATAGTTATTTTCGGAGTGACTCGCATATAGAGTCACAATAATGTTGTTGACAAAATATCTTTGAAAGGTGAGTTGAAAAGGTTATTTTTACAAGAACCGATCCATTCGGTTTTACTAAGATTATCTACTACAATGATGCTATTTGAATGGAACAGACAAACGGCTATCGCAAGCAAGCATGGACTCGACTCGGATGTTGATGCTGACCAGAAGTCATTTATACCCGCTGCTAGCAGCAAGGCAGGGGTATAACATCATCACGATAGCGATACAATATTTACAAGGAAATAAAATATATGTATGTACATCGGCATGTCATTTGTACGCACTTCACACACATATATATATACTTATATATACATCGTTGTTTCATCGATCACTATTATGATTACTTACTGTTTGTATAGTATTGGGCATTTCGGGTTTTCTGAACATGCCGGTACTTGTGCTGTCCTCCGTGTAGATGATTTCACCCATTTTTGCATCCTTTTCGCTAAATATGGACCCAGACGAGGAGTTGCCATTGATGCGAGCCGGCGTTGTTGGCATTTTGGGCTTATTCAGCTGCACGGAGCTGCCGCCGTTTTTTAATCGCTTTACTGTGTGCGACGGTATTAAATCCTCTTCGAGATCTTCCAGCTCCATTGATTCATTGGAGGCATTGAGACCAGCACCCTCGGCACTGGAATCTGTGTGATTCAGTTTGCGTTTAATGGCCGTTGGTGCCGTGGCAGCCGTGGACCATTCCTGTTCCGTAGCCGACTCATCTTCGTTAGCTGAAGAGGGTGATGTAGAGCCCTCGCCTGCGCCACTCTCGTTCACCCATTGCTTGAACTGATCCATAGCTTTGGTCTTGGATGTGCGCGACGGACGGGATGCGCCAACGCCCGACGAATTGGGTGATATTGCCGATGATTCTGGACTGTGTGGAGCAGAGTCCATTTTGCCACCAGCCTGCGACGCCTGCTGTTTGTCTTGCTGCGGTTTTTCCTGTTGCATGCGCTTCAGTGCATCCAGACTCTTCTCGCGCTTTAGCTTTTGGCGAGCCAGTTGCTTCTCAAACATCTGCAGGAAGTAGGGCACACGCTCTAAATTGGCCATCACCTCCCAGGTGTTCTCATTGTGCGAACGATCGATCCACTTCACCAAATACTCATGCGTCTTGCGGCGTGGATTAAAGCGTTTCGCTACAATACTCTCCACTGCCTCCTCAGTGCGTTGCTCGGTTTTTGGGTCGACGCGTGTGGCAATGCGATTGCTATTCTTAACAACGCCAGTGATTGTGGTTTGCGCCGAGGCGCCGGGCGGTGTGGGCGTGCCGGGTTTTGACTTGGGCCGCTCATTTTCCGTATCCTTCAGCTGTGAAGCAACTGTCGGCAATTTGCCAGCGGGAGATTCTGCATATGCAGAAGAATAGTGTTACATTTGGCAGAAACAATAAATAATAGAATATCAATCAGTTTTTTTTTAGATCTTACTTCTCGTGGGTGAAACACTGGAGGACGTGTTATTACTATTTGCAGTGCTGTTGTTGTTGTTATTGTTGTTCGGATTTACAACGGTTTTGGTGATGCGTACAGGCATATCTTGAAGCTGGCCATGTCCGATTTTGCCAAACGACTGTATTGTCCTACCGGCAACAATCCAAGGCTCGCGCACGCTCTCGTCTAGCTTGACCCAATTCTGATAGAGTGCCCAGGAATTTGAAGAGTTGCTCTCCTTCCGTGTGTGCAGCTGTGTGGCCTTCCAAAGCGTAAATGCCCAGATTGTGGGCTTTGTATCCAGCGATTCCTTTAAACTCGAATTTTCTTTTTCGCAGGCATCGTCCTCCTTATGCGACTGAAATTCCTCGACAAAGTTAAAGGCGCGCAGACAGCGTCCGCAAACAAGCACATCCATATTGGCTAATTCCTCTTGGGCAACTAAATGGGGAGTATAAAGGTTTAAATTTCGTTCCCTTTTCCTTTTTTTTTATGTTTTTCCATTGAGTGTTGACCACTTGCCTCTTATTATATTTGCGTGTTTGCCAATTTCCGTCGGTGCAATCTCCTGTGCCAACATTATACACAACACCAACGTAGTAACTAAAAAATGTACAATTTGAATATTTTTGTGTCACAATTTAAAAACAAATAAAAACCGTAGAAAATACGCGCACAAACACACACACGCACATGCGAGCAAAAAAAAAAAAAGTACAGTGCCGTGGTGTGTTTATGAAACGAAGTGGCAACATTAACAACTGACAACAAAGTGTGGTGGGTTTAAGCCGTATGTAATGGCTGCAGAGAATACAGCGCCTTGGCAGAAAAACGAGCACAAAGCGTGATGACCAAAAATGCAACGAACGCCCGCACAAAGGTACACACACAAAACATAGCAAACCGGGCGCGAAAAATGCAACAGCTAAACATAAGCTCAGAATATATGATACACATTTATGGATCTTTATACATGTAGCTACATAATAGCAAACTCCTTTATTTTATTCTTATCTTTAACTAGCCGCCATTTTTAGTTAAATAAGCCGCACATTGCATTTTCAATTGCATAGAACAAACTAATAGAATGAATACATCCACACACACACACACTAAGCTCAGCTCAACAATTTTAATGTTTTATAGATGATTTAAAACATAATAATCTGTTCGCTAGAAACATTTGAAACGAAATTTGCCATGTATGGACGCTTTTTTGCAAATTTATGTATGCATTTTTCACGTTTTCTCTTCGCTATTTTTTTCTCTTTTGTACTACACACCTTCATATACAGATGTGTTATGGAAAATTATAGAGAGCAACTAGTTTGTTTTTAACAACTAATTTTAATTTAACTGTTTTTATTCTCCAACTCGCGCAACGCTGTTCACAATTGCACGCGCGCCAACTCTGAATGCCAAAAAAGTTTGTACAACTGAGCGAAGTGGCCAGTTCTGTTTTAGGGGTATGGCTAGGATGACACTTGCGTGCGCTACATTATATATGCGTATATGCAAACCTCAAAGAAAGTTTGCAGTTGCTGGACCAGCACTGATTTAATTTGATAAGTTATATTATTCACTTAAATTTGACACGTTTAAAACTTGTTATGTGTCAGATTCTTACAATTTAAGAGACTTTAATATTTGAAGTGTGTCGTATATGCTCAAACAACTGTGTAGCGCCGTTTTCCGTTCGTCCGCGTTTTGTAGCACTTTGTAAGCCAATCACATGGAGTGGTGTGTTTGCGCTGTCAGTGTGGCAGCACTGGTCATTTGACAGTAATTGAAATAAATTGATTTTAATGAACTTAAATATTTTTTTGTACACTTTTTCTTCACTATTAATACTATTTATAATTTTATCTCTTAAATTTTCAATTACTAACCAACATTTAAACTTAGTTTCAAATGTAATGGCAACTCTACATACTTCAGCTGCTAGATTTGTTTACTTTCTGTTGTGTACACACTTTTGTAGTTGCCGGTGCGTGCCGACAAATTTTGTTTAACTTTGTATTTATTGAACTAGCTTTACATATTAAAGCAACAAATATGGCTGACGATGAGCAAGATGATCAAAAAGAGTATCGCTGGGAAACCGGCTATGAGAAGACTTGGTAAGCCATCTTGAATATTATCGTGGCTTTTGTTGTTTTTGCTATTACCCCCAACTTGTACCACAGGGAAGCCATCAAGGAGGATGACGATGGGCTGCTGGACGGTGCCATTGCCGAGATTATACAAAAGGCCAAACGCAAGCGACAGGCGGATAAGATTAAACAAAATCGCCTGGGAATGATGCGGCACATGTTCATTGTCTTAGATTGCTCCGAGTCGATGAGCGTACCTGATCTGAAGCCTACGCGCTTATTATGCACACTCAAATTGCTGGAGATCTTCATTGAAGAGTTCTTCGATCAGAATCCCATCAGCCAGTTGGGTATTATAGCACTAAAGGCAAAGCGCGCCGAGAAAGTAACCGAGCTAACGGGCACTTCGCGTGTACATCTCAAGGCGCTGGCTGGGTAAGTAGATATATCTGCCGTTCTGCTAAGCAAATACACGGGATTCCTTGATTTTAATGCCGTCTTGCAGCTTGGCTAATGTGTCGCTGACCAGCGAACCCTCACTGCAAAATGGCTTGGACCTGGCGCTAAAGACACTCAAAGTGGTGCCATCTCATGCCTCGCGCGAGATAGTCATAATCATGGGCTCGCTGACTACCTGTGATCCCGTGGATATCAATCAAACTATAGACGAGTTGAAAAGGGAGCGCATACGCTGCTCGGTTATATCGCTATCAGCTGAAATTCATATCTGTCGCTATTTGACACAACAAACAATGGGCACATTCGGTGCCGTGATGGATGATGCTCATTATCGTGATCAGCTGCTGGCGCAGGTGGATCCACCGCCAGCTGCCAAGACACAGGACAATTCGCTTATACGCATGGGCTTTCCGCACAGCAAGAATGAGGTAGAGGGCAAGGATGCTCCGCTATCCATGTGCATGTGCCACATTGAGAATCTCGATGAGCCCAGCGAGCTGTCCACCACCGGCCATCACTGTCCCCAGTGCAACAGCAAGTACTGTGAGCTGCCCGTGGAATGCCAGTGTTGTGGCCTCACGCTGGTCTCTGCACCGCATCTGGCACGCTCCTATCATCATCTGTTTCCAGTGCCCAACTTTGAAGAGCTGCCATTTGAGTCGGTGCCGCCGGCAGCGCCTGACTGTGGCAGCCTGCGCAAGTGCTATGGCTGCATTAAAGTGCTTAACGCGCAGACTGACAAAAGCGTCTTCAAGTGCGGCTACTGCAACCAATTTTTCTGCATCGATTGTGATATATTCATACATGAGACGCTGCATGCCTGCGTTGGCTGCAATACCATTCCAGGCGTCGCCGGCTTAGTCTATCAAAAGCAGGGCGGCAAATCAGCCGCCGGCACCCATCAGCAGCAGCCTCAGCCACAACCATCCACCTCCAAGCAGCGCAGTCAGTTCAATATGTAATCTTGGCCCTCTAGCATGCAGCATTCTGCATGGGAGCTTATTGCGGACACATTTGCATTCAACTGGCGGCTGTCAGCTGTCGGGGTTGGACGCAATTCATGTTTACAAAAAAATAATTATATGTAGATTAAATTATTTTAAGACCTAAAGTTGCATTTACTTTGCATACAAGTTGTTGCTACCAAGTTTTTTATTTTATTTATGTATGAAATAAAAAAAAATTATGAGTAACAAAATATTACCCGATCCCCAATTGAGAGCGAGTAAAAAAAATAAGTTTTTTTTATAGAGGAACAAATTTTTGAAATACTCAAAACACATGCAAAAAAGAAACTTTAGAATGACTCTTGAAAATCGCATAGAAAGGCGATATCAGAGCGATAAGCCAGTTAGAGAGTAAGAGATAAAGGAACCTTTATGCTCAAGCATATTTACTCTCTTATGTCCATTTTTTTTGTTTTTTAAGTGCAAATGAAAAATAGGGAAAAGGTACATTAGTCAATTGTGTCATGAAAGTCGTAAAGACGTGCTATCCGTACTTAAGAAGGAAAAGTTATGTCAAAAGTGAAACAATTATATTTATCAGTAACTTTCTTTAATTTTGTAAACTCGAAGAACGCAAGTTCTTATGAATTTAATAAAAAACAAATGTTTTGTGATCCATTTTAAAAGTTTCCCATTTAGTGAGATTTCTATTTTACTTTGATGAGAGAAAATATTATGTAAATATAAGTAGTACGTGCATCTCCTACATACAACTTTTTCCCTAACTAACTTATAATTTTCAGGGCTTTTCCTCTTTCATATGTGTTAAATGCCAAATATTTTCAATTATTTGCAGAGTATTTCAGTTACGACCTGTTTCAATACTTTTATTACATTTTACTATAACTACTTAATTATGAAAAGTTTTTTGTTTATATTTTTTGTTCAGTTTTTCTTTTTTTTGTTTGCGTTTGTGAATGATTGTTGCCATTGTTGTAGCTGTAATTTTTGTTGTCGTTCACAGTTAATTCTTGTCATTTTTTTCTATGTATTCAGCTATTGAACTTGGTGAATCTGTTAATTGCGGCTCGCACGAGTTCAACGCCAACGTTCGCCGCACTCGGTCGCGCTTTAGCTAAATATAGTATATTTTAGATTTTGAGTCTCCCTTGTGTGTTCTGTGCAGGTGTTTTTCTTCTAACGCTTTATTTAGAATAATAATAGTTATAAATATCGAAGCGAACGTGTGTGAGTTTTCGAGCAATTACCAGGTATGTGTAGTTGTCTTTATCGCCTGGCTTAGGGCATATAGAATGTATCATAAGTTTGGTGTTAAAAAAGCAAGTTATAAGAAAATCTTAAAGATCAAACTTCTGTAAGTCACCAAATTAATAGAATCAATCAGATTTGAAATGGGTTAAGAGATAAAATCTTATTTAAATTAAATAAATATATATGAAAATATAAACTTACCCAAACATTTTCTCATGCATTAATTATTATTGTATAATTATATTATATTTTATATATACTGAAAAAAGAGAAAGAGAAAGAAATAAATAGAGAGAGAGAGTAATATATATATATATATAAAATAAATAAAGACAGACTGCCGTATGTAATTCAAGTTGATTTACTTGAATTTATGAGAATCACATAGTAGGGCGATATTGAAAAAATGTTTTATTTGCAGCGCTATGGCTGCGTATGGTATAGTTTCTTCGCTACAAACATACATACATACACACATTCATAACTAGAAAAAAGACAAATAAAAATTGGTATAGGAGTGCCTACAAAGCCCGGCCAAGATTCTATCTTAAAACCACTTTTCCCGTCCGAGAAACAACTGACATCCTCTCCATCCTTCCCCATTGATTTTCGGAATCAGTTAACTATTAAAAAATGAAATAGGTTATTATTTCAAGCACGGCAATTTATAAGAGCACTATGTTTTGACTACTGTATTCCCAGTTCGTGCTATTGTTAGGTACTTATTTGATTTTTTTTGTTTTGTTTACATACTGCGAAGCCATAAAATTATACGGCTTAAACCGAACGTCAATGACACTGCCTGAAACGAGTTGTGAGCTGGTTTTGGCCAAGCAAAACCGCAAAACGTCATTCATAATTCGAATATATAGAACAGTGTCTGACTGTAAAATAATTTATTGGACTAGAATAAATTGTTAAAACATGATTATATAAAATAATTATATATATTATATACAAGATCTACAAGTCTTTCAAAAAACGAATATCATTTGCGTAGGTATAGAAATGGGGTTCTAAAGAAACCTTAAACTGATAAATGAACACTTGAACTTCAATTTTGCGATGTTCTAAAATAGTATGTCTCCTAATTTCGATAAGTTTAAAAACCTGAAACAGGGCTGAGTAATGTCTGGAAGAGCATAATTATGATGATGATTAATTGATTCTCCATTCTCCCAATTGCAAACACAGTCAACAACCTCTGAAGTGCGATCGACTCTTAACCCCAATATTCTGTATATCTGTTTAAATATTTGACTTCCATATCAAATATCTAGCTACTGAACTATGTATGCTTGAGTGTAAATATAGTGCATATAAATGTTACTGGATTTACTTTCCTCTATATTACAAACGCCTTTAATAACCTTTAGAACCGGTTGTTAAATCGCGAAATGAACCCCATATAACATGCATTGGTCAGACTTAATATTACGGCAATCACATATAGACTAACCCTGACACTTTCGTTTGTGGACCTTGGGCCAATTCTGGTTGCCCACATGCAAAATGGAGGCGTTTGATTATTCGGATTCCGTGCGAAATCCGAGAGATCTCTACATTTAGTCACTGAATAAATAGGCACAACCCGCACAGTTAACTGCCGGACAGGTCAGCTCTATTCTAACT